CAAAAAAAAAAAAAAAAAAAAAAAAAAAAAAAAAAAAAAAAAAGAACAACAATGAACAATTGGAAAGAACTATAGGAAAGATTTCAAACTTTATCAATAGCAAAGAAGGTTTCCTGTGGAGATAAGTAAAGTCACCAACTACTTTCCAGATTTGTATCTCCTTTACTAATTCCCCACTCACAGTTGGTTCATAGGGGAGATACTACAATGGACATTTGTACAATGGAGATATTTACAAAATACTTTTCATTAATCTCCAGTAAACACTATCAATTAAATAAAATGAATTAAATAACAAGAGAAATCACTGAATATCCCAGATACAGGAAATAGATACCCTAGCAAGAAAGAGGTGTTTCTGCTTTGTTTTGTTTTTACATTTTCATTAGGCATAGTAATGAAATCTATATCTTTTTACAGCAATTCTTTTAACCAAATTCTTTTTGATCGATTGCATTGTTTAGCATTTATAATTTCTTTTCTTTCTTAACATTATAAAAGAATTATATCTTGGTGATATAAAAGAACTGCAAACACTACACAAGTACATAAAATAAAAACTGAAATTCCTCTCATCTCAGCACTCCTATACTTTAGATTTGTAACCATTTTTAACAGGCCCGTAAGTATGTTTCCAGAATTTTTATTTTTTGGCACATAAATACACATACACACTTCTTCCCCACCCCCACCCCCATTTAAATCATCTTATATATACCTATGCCCCTAGAGTTGATGTTTTCACTCATACACATCTGCCACATGCTGCCATGTCAGTGCTGTAGATTTAGCTCCTTTTTCAATGCCTTCACTACATTCCATTGTATGACTACACTATAGCTGTTTTTTAGTTTTTTAACATTTTCATATTGCTGGGTATTTTAGGGTGATTATAATTTTCTACTACTACAAATAATGCTACAATGAATAGCCTAGGACATATATCCTTATACATCTCTGTATTTCTATGGTGCAGATTCTTAAAGGTAGAATCACCTTTAGGATACCTTTTGGTATCAAATGATGTGTACATTTTAAATTTGAAGAGATACTGCCAATCTGTCCTCAGGAAAAAGCCTGAATCAATTTGTATTCCCAGCAAAAATGTCTGAGAATGACCTTTTTCCCCTTCTAAAAATACCAAATATTATTTGTTTCTAATTTTTGCTTATTTGGTGACAAATTTTGGTTGTTTAAATTTCTAGTTTCTTGGGCCGGCCCGGTGGCGCACTGTAGCAGTGCGCCGCTTGGGAGCGTGGCGGCGCTCCCGCCGAGGGTTCGGATCCCACATACAGACCGGTTCCCACTCACTGGCTGAGCGAGGTGCGGGGGCAACACCAAGGGTTGCGATCCCGTTGCCGGTCCGGTACGGTACGGGCGTAACACTGAGGGTTGCGATCCGTTGCCAGACACGAAAAAAGACAAAAAGGAAAATAAATAAATAAATAAATAAATAAAATAAATTTCTAGTTTCTTGATTACTACTGAAGGTAGTAATTCATTTGTTTATTGGTAATTTGTATTTTTCCATGATTTGCTTGTTCTTTTCTTTGCCTATATTTCTGATATTCAGTTTGTTTGCATTTTTCTTATTGAATTATATAAACTTCATATATTAGAAATAAGTTATTATCAGAGATAAATACATGTCTGCACCATAGAAAAACAGAGGTCCCACAAAGGTCACCTGAGTCAATTTGAACCAAAAGAACAACTTGGCTGACCCACAGAATAATGAGCTAAATAAAGTTGTTTTAGGTCTTTTAAAAAAAAGAAATAAAAGAAAAACAGGTCTGTAAGGATACGTGTGACATATATGTATATACATGTACACATATACATATATAGAACGTATTCATTCAGTTCTTTCAACTCTGTCTATTGTATTTTTATCATAGAGAGTTTTTTTTACTTGTATGTAGTCAAATCTGTACATTTTCTGTTTGCAGCTTCTGAGTTACATGTCTTCATTAGAAGGCTTCCTATTCTGCCCCACCTCACTCTTAAAATTTATAAAAATGTTGAATTCCTTTATTACACACACACACACACACACACACGTTTTTTAAATTAAGTTAGATTAATAATCCATTTGAATTTTGTTTTTGTGTATAGTATGAGGTAGGAATTTTTCCCAGATGATTTCTAATAATTCATCTTTTTCCCATTGATTTTAAATGTGACCATTACAATAAATTAGGAGTGTGTGTGTGTGTGTTTATTCTCTGTTCTTCACTATTGAGCTATTTCACTTCTTAGATCATCACTATGCAATACTTAAGTGCATACCAAATCTAAGAAATTGGATAATTAATTCCTACAGAAAAATGCAAAAATAGACTGCCTGAGAACCAGTCCTGCTAGAGAGGAAAAAATTTCTGGAAAGAATGTTCTCCACCCAAACTCAAATTAAGTATTCGGGAATGTGATGGGGTTGATACCACGTATTTGCAACTGGTGATCAATTAGGAACAGATCCACATTCTTTGGACCAGTAAGGAGGCTCAGGAAAAAGGGAGAGAAGACAGAACAAGCTTCTTACAGAGACTGTTAGAAGTCTCACTACAGTCAGTGTTCTCACTGGCAGCTGAGTGCCTTTGTGGGATTTGAAGATCAGGGGTACTTGCCCACTAACTGGGACTATTACTGTGTTACCCATCTTATTCTGGGCATCCATCTCTGTGCAAAGACATTTTTGTATCATTTACTCATATGAAATGCCTTGCCTTGTGTCTTCTAGGATTTTTCCATCACTCAGGGTCACCTTTATGATGTTCATGCAAATATTATCTCTTAGAGTCATGCAATTTGGAAATCTCACACTTCTGCGTATTTTCTGCTTCTCTTTCCAGTTAAAAGTACCAGATGGTTTTAGAATTTCAAGACTAAGGTTCTAATCTTACTCATCTTTGTAGTCCCAGGGACTCCAGGACAGAGCTGTAAACCCTAGTAAGCAACATTTTCTATTTCAGGCTACAGATCTCTTTCCTCATCTAAGCACATCACAACAAACTTCATAGGGAATTTACCAGCAACCCCACCTCCACCCCAAAATTTGAAAAGAAGAAAGTGGAGAAGTAAAAATGCAAAATATCACCAAAAAGGATCACAAATGGCAAATATGGACATGAAAAAGATATTCAACATCATTAGCCATCAGGAAAATGCAAATTAAAAGCAAAATGAGATAATCACTGTACATCTATCAGAATAACTAAAATAAAAAAAAAATAGTTATCACCAAATGCTGGTGAAGATGCAGAGAAACTACATCATTCATACATTGCTGGTTGGAACAGAAAACAGTATAGCCTCTCTGGAAAACCATATGGCAGTTTCTTATAAAACCAAACATACAATTACCATACAACCCACCAGTTGCACCTTGGGATTTATCCCAGAGGGATGAAAAACCTGTCCATGAATGTTCATAGCAGTTTTATTCAGAATGGCCAAAAACTTGAAAC